TTTTTGATTCTGAAATTGTTGTTGGTGTTGTTGTTACAACTGCTGTTGTTGCTTCTGAAGTTGCTGTTGGTGATGTTGTTACATTTGTTGTTGCTTCTGAAGTTGGCATTGGTGTTGTTGTGCCATCTGCAATTGTTTCCTTTGAAGTTGCTGTTGGTGATGTTGTTACATCTGTTGTTGTTGCTTCTGAAGTTGTTGTTGTTGATGTTGTTGTAGCTCCTGTTATTGTTTCTGATGCTGCTGTTGTTACCGGTTGTGATTTTGTCTCTGTTATCTGTGCTACTTGTAATGATACTGTTCCTGATGTTGTTTCTCCTGTTGCTGTTGTCACTGGTGTCCTCGTTTCTTCTGTTGTTGTTTCTTTATTTTCTGCAGCTCCTGTTGCTGGTGTTGTTGTTCCAGCAATTCGTGGTGTTGATTTTGTTATTTTTCCATCCGTTGTTGCAGATTCTGCTGCTTTTCCAGAAGATTTTTCATCTGCTGCTGTTGTTTCCTCTGCTTTCTCATCAAATATTTTTTGTTTAGCACCTGATAGGGAAGAGATAATTTTATCTTTATTAAGCAGAAATAGCAGTAGTCATTCAAGCAAAGATCTACCCATCTTATCAACCAAGTACATAACCAATCGTTGTCTTTTTTTTTTTTTTCGCTGTCTTAATTATTGACCATCCGTCTATTCTGCTAAGTACCTATTTGCCTTACAAATAAGGAAATACCTATCCTAAACATGTAAAAATATAATAAAATTGAGTTTTTTGTGGACTAAAAAAACAAAAAATTAAGAAAAGGAAGAAAAAGAAAACGAAGAAGGAAAAAAAACTAAAGCTTTTCTCTACACCCTTATTAGTATTCAACTGTCCTCTACACCTTTATTAGTATTCAACTATATGACCACATGTCAGTGCCAGTCTGGGAGCCCCCCAGGGGTTCCCTGAGATATAGTATCCTCGCAGGAAGTGCCAAGACGAAAGTGAAAGTAATGCTGTCTCAAATCTATCAATGTTAAGAGTTCAACTGCTTACTATTCAATGTAATGGAGAAACAAACAATCAAATGAAAGCCGATAGATAATACGGTCATAAGGAAAATTGATAATCAATATTCTGACACGGTTGAACTATTCAACATCAAGCGCAATATATTTTGCTTTTTTCTTCCTGACAAGTCAATTGACTTGATTATTCACAAAGAAAGATATTCTGCAAGGTTTTTCAATGCTTTATAAATATCAGTGTATCGTCAAATTAGAACAACTTCAATTTTAATAGCAGAAAGCTCATACTAAAAAAATGTGTCTGAGCCGGTAATGAAAATTTATTACGTAGAATGGTCGAATGAGTCGAAGCAAGTACGATGTTTGAAATTATATTATTAATCAGCTTTTTAGTCTAAAGTTATTAGACAACTTGTCGATATTTTCTTCTGTCAGCTATGTTTTTGTAATCTTTAGTCGGAAGTAATATAATCAAATACAGAGGAATGTTCATCGTGCATTTTAATATATTATTTTGAACAATTCATCTAACGAATAAAAGACTTACTTTCGCCAGAGGAAGATTGAATATTCTCGGTAGATTGAGTAATTGTAGTTTGGATATCTTTTGCGTCTCCATTGAAAGTTGTGTCTTCGCCTATCGCCGAACCACATTTTGGGCACCACTCAAAATCTGAAGCCAACGATCCCAATTTATCCAAATAGCTTGGATCTTTACAATTAGGATTTTTGCACTTCATATTCAAATGGCTAGTTTAAAATAATGGAAGCTTTCAACCTCAGTTTTATAGCCTTCCATTTTGTGCTGACATGCACAAGAAAGGGGATTATTCCAGGAACACGCGCCCCCTCGTTGATTCTTAGAAGCGAGCCCGGAAGTACAGTCACGCGATTTTCAAGTCACGCGATTTTGCAGTCACGCGGATAGTCAATACGAGGAGCGAGCAAAAACAAAAGCACCCTGAAAAATTTCACTTGATTCTTCTGAATTTTGTTTTAAACGACTTAAGGAAGGACTTCACGCATTTTCTTTTTGATTTTTTGGAGTATAAATCACACTTCCTTGTTGTCAACGTCGTCGTCACGCAAACAAGGGGAAAAGTACCTTAGTTGTCTTCTTGTAAATTAGAATAATTAAAAATTGGAGTTTGCACTTTTGATTCACGTCAAATAATTCACAAAGAATACCCTTTCTATTGAATGGTCAGTAGAAGCGTAGTCAGCGTTTATTACTTTATAGTAAGCCTAATAATGTTGGGTTTGTCCCGTCCTAATTGGTTCTTTTACTTTCCCCAATGAAGTTACTAGTATTAGGGAACTTTAGATTTGACGAGTTCCAGATCGAGTACGAGTATTAAGAGTCCACACTATTCCAGTACCTAACTAATTATTCAACTACTAGAGCATTAGGTAACTATATAGATTTGACAACGAGTTCGGGATTGAGTTCGAGTAAGAGTCGAACTCAATATACAACATTATTATTACATCAATTTTCATCAAATGTAATCATATGACAATCCATATTTAATGCAACTATTTAATAGATACTGTCCACATTTATTTACAATGATATCTACAATTTCTATTGCTGTTCACTTGATTTTTATGAT